AAGTTTCAGCAAGGTGGGTTTCTCGTTCCCCCTCATAGATGAGTGACGCTTCGAAGACAGCTAAATTCCAACTCAATACATATAATCGCTAGTTATTATTCCTGTCCTCCGTTGAAACTTCAGCTGAAAACCGCTATTCGTTAACGATAAATGCTGAATTCTACGAAATTTCTAGAAGAAAAAATATATGCCTTAGGGACATCAGATACCATTTTATGTAGTTCAGCTTCTTAGGTGGGGTATGAGTCCTATCCCGAGGCCTTCGTCCAGTTCATGATCAGACTCGCCAACCCGGGCTTATTCGATACCACAACTCTCTCTCCTCAGCAACAAGCCGTACGTGAGTCCGTCGAGAATCTGTTTAGGTTGTATATTAGGAGGAGGAAGCCTTGAGCCAGTTGTATGCCGGGATGGAGACCGAGGACCCGAGGCTGTACCTTACCTATCGCTCCAATGAGAGTTTGGTGATTGATGCTGAGAAATTGGTGACATCCTCTGGATGATGAAGTATTAACTGCCTCTTATCAGGTCGGATTCACCCATTCGGTATCGTGCTGGACAAGTGTGACGAATTCACAAGTGGGAAGTGGCGTTCTAATGAGAGTATTACTCCCCAGTTCAGGGTCGAGCCGTCGGGCAAGTCATCGGAGACTGCGTGCAACTGAACATATCTCGGCCTCTTGCTGGGCCCATGCAGTTGTGCCTGCCGATGGCCCCTCCTGAGCTCATCCCGAGGAACACGGACATATTCGTATCAAACGTCTCTCACAATGGGTCGAAGCCGCGCTTGCAGGACACACTCGACTTTGGAGTCTTGCGGACAGCAGAGAGATTCGACTTGAACGAGGCCATGGAAGGGCTCATCATTCCCGATCTGATGTATACCCACGCCCCCCCCCTCTGGAATTGGCCGGATTTGTTTGGTAGATACGGCCTACTACGACCAGGCGACAAGTGGGTGCGTGCTTTGGGGAAGCAACTTACTGAGGTTACTGAAACCCATATATGTGCGAAAGTTATGGAGCAGCACTGGACGTGAGACTATTGGATGAACACTATTTAACTACGTGTGTCGGTGAAGATACAAAAATTCTGAGAAAATTTCGGGAAATTATTGCTGGGTGTTTCGTACACTTCTACTCTAGGTTGTATGTAGTGAGGAAACTTCCGAACTTCGGAACAATGATTGATGATGATTGCGGTAGGTACTGCCCTATCCTGCGTATGAACGATTCGATGCATGTGTGGCCTGCTCATGCGGAGACCTTCGCTGAGGACACCATTTCCGCGGCGACCTCCTGTGTCGAGCTGGACACGTAACTGAGGCGTGATCGCGCTATCAGTGATTTATAATTCGTTAGCATACTGGACAGCGTGCATCGAGAACAGTTCGATGATGTTGACGTTGCATACAAGCAGCTAGGGTCATTGGGAACAACCCCAGACGATAAGTAGGTCATTGGTGAAGTCTCTCAATGGCTGTTGGTCCGCAGGTATCACTGTACGGGATGCAACGATGGACTGCTTGTATCGAACTCTATCAACTCCCCGGGGTAGGCGTCGAATGGGACTGTCATACGCAGTTCTTCTCAGAACGGCTTTACCTCTCAATGGCGAGCCCAGGACTACGACCGGTCCGCCAAGGTCCGAAGCTAATGAGCTCTTCAGTGGCAGCATGTTGCAGTACATGATTTATGCAATCATCATGATGTCATCTGGTTTAATTTGAAAATTGCCAATGTCTTGTTTGATGGAAAGCTAGTGAACGATGAGAATCGAAGGGTTTCGGTGGGCCATAGGATTTTGATGTAAAGCTCTGTGGCGCGACGGTAGCGCGGCTCCAGATGGAGAGTTGCCCGTCTGAATCATGCTAGGGTCAGTATTGTCATTGGTGCGATATATAAATTGGACATACGATGGATATCCAATAACCACTGCAGACTCTGGAGTGCAGAGGTGTGCAGCCATTCCAGCGTTTCAAAGGATACTCTGACTTAGTGACGAACTCTTCAATGTCGTGCTCGGGCGTTCTTGGACTTCCGATCGAGATCGGGCAATACCCTTCTCAATCCTCGACGTCTATGGGATTTCTTTAATGCGTTCGTCTCATGGAGTTCGAAGATATGAAATATGGATATCTTCGCGTCTTGTTTGGTGGGATACCAGCTGACAATGAAAATCTAGACGGAAGACGGCAGCGAACAAGAACTACTTGCATTATAAGGCCCTGTGGCGCAACGGTAGCGCATCTGACTCCAGATCAGAAGGTTGTCCGTTCGAATCGGGCCGGGGTCAATTTTACAATCGAAATCGTGTTCGTCGTATCGAGTCTGAAGGGAACCTGCATCTAGCACCAAACCGCTCTGAAAATAGCGAGGAAATGACGTCTCGCATTTAACGCACAGAATCCACAACAGACAATGTCTTACCAACCCACACTTCACCAACTTCTTCCACTCGGTATCAACACAAAACTCAACAGGTTACTCAAAACAATCGAGCCGTTCTTTAGATCTCCAATATACTTCACCATATGATGCAAGAACTTCGCTATCGGCCTATCCAGTGATGGCAATCATTCGAGTTGAGCTCCAAAGAGGTACTCACTGGAATGTCCCGAGTGGCCACAATATCGGCAACTTTTCGATCCTTATCTTTGATGAATCTTGCGTTTAATTTCTGTGAATCTTTACAATCATTTATGTATCTCCCCCATACGTTGAATGAGTACTTCGCGTCGATGTGACAATTGATGCCAAAACCACCTAATGAGGAGACCTCACCAGCGGAATACAATTCGCTCTGCTCACCCATCATATAAGAGCGATCGTCAACTTTCAGCGCTTGAGCTAAGCTGAGACGCCGTCCAGAATACTCGCAAATGGTCGATCCTTTAGGAAAGCACTTCGTAGTAAATAGACCGAGTTCATTCGGGACTACAACCGACGGTCGAATCTCCAAACCTGAACACATCATTTTCAGTCGAAAAAAGAATCGAGTGAAGTGAAGTGCACCAGGGAATGTCGAATAATCGAGCCTCACGCGACTCAGCAGTAGACCCGGGAAGACCTCAATCTGAGCATCATGGGAGGCGTCGTCGGTTGACAGGATGAAGGAGTGAAAAATGATGAACTACTCATCCAGTGTGGGAAGATATGCACATGGTGTTGGTGACAATAGTGAGGAAATTTTGGGAAATTCGTATTGGTTTCTGTACACTTCTATCCGAGTTTGTATGTGAACGAGGGTTTTACTTCGTTACACACCTGTAACGTACAATAAATTTGCTCGAACTGCGTGAGTACACAAATTGCCTAACTGCAAGAAGTGCAAGAAAGCGCGATGAAATCACGCACGATTGTGCTGGACCGGGCCTATGAGTTTGCGTTCATGAAGATGAGTTTGCGTGCAAGGCCTTATCCAGCGGCTTCACCTCGTGTTATCAAGAGTCTGATCGATCGAGTATAACTGTGCTATAGTTCTATCATTATCTGAGATATCTCAGTTCTTCTTCTTTGTTTATTTATCTTCGTTCGGTTCGGTTAGGAGATCGGTTCTATCGACCTTCGGCTTAACCCTACACGAAGCTTGTGGAGTGTAGAGTGGTGCAAAAACAGGACCGTGACGCGCTCGCCCGCGAAGCTAGTTACTCTGAACCTGTGTATATCGTGCGACGTTGTTGCTGCTGGTCCTAAGTGTTAGTGTGAGGATTATTGATAACTTACTTTATCATCTATCAGTTGCTGGTGAGCGTGCTGGCTCCTTTTGCCCACCCTCTGCCACCCGGTAGTTTCTGGTTGTCTGCATCTTGACGTGCGATCCTCAACTGTGTGAGGATGGCCGTCCGATGGCCACAGATGAAGTCGGCAGGGCGGGACGAGTTGAGTTAACGAGTTTTGGGTGGGAAGCTGCGATCGGGCCTGTATTTGCAGTATCGATCGACAGTAACTAAATACCCTACAACGGGCTAGTGCCACTACCGTATCACTAAGTTAGCTGGTATACTACAAGAGCTGGAGTCGAATTGGCTTATCTACTTCTAGCAGTGAGATATCGATTTTGGTACACGATGTAGGTTTAGGAATGCGTTGCAAAAGAGTAGAATTGGAGTGTTGAGAGGCGTTTAGATTTAATAAATCGGAAGCAACGCAATTTGTGGAAGAAATTTGAAAATGTGAGATTTTGACGCACGATTATAGCCGAGTAGCATAAAAGTATTAATAGATAAAAATCCACCTAGCTTAGAAGTATTAAATATTGGAGTTTCACCC